GCGTTGAAGCAACCAACTTTGGCTAAGGCCTGATGTAACTGACATACCATTTTCAAAGGCAAGAAACTTCAAAACTATCTTACCCTGTCTTGGCAGGATATGACAGTCTTGTTTTATCCATTTACGGATATTCTGTAACTCTGTCAGTAGTTGAGGTATGAGCATTTTTTTACCCAAAGGCCAGTTCTGCCAAGAAGAAAGGCTCCAGGTGGAGTGTCTTTGGTGCTCAACATTCTCTCGGGCATAGATCAGTGGTGCCCAGACGTGGATAACTGAATCCACAGAAAGCTTGAGAAAGCTTGGGAAATAGAGTAAAGCATGTTTTGTTGGTAGCAGCAATTTCTCAGGTCTGCTCTGCTTGCTAGAGGCAAGCAAGCACTCTCATCTAAGAGAGGCTTCCTGACTCAGCTTTAGCTGCAAAACCTTGCAGCTCTTTTAAGAGGTCCTGCCACGAAGCACTTAAACGGTGTTGATGAAAAGCTGAACGCATGCTTTTCGGGTTTTCAGCAGTAGCAGGAAAAAAGCTGTGCTGTTTTAAAATGCTGGCTTTCTGGGCTGTCCTGCCAGGGCAAACTCTGACTCTTTCAGGCAGGCAGTCCGACTGAGTGTGGTCTGTAAGCAGAATGCTGCAGCTTGCTTGCTAGCAAGGACCTTGAAACACCATAGAGTTGTGGCAGTGAACACAGCTCTGGCTGGTATCTCAGCCAGGGGGCTGAAAAGCTAAGAAATGGAATGGATCGAGCCGTCAAAGCCATGGCTCTCCATATTGCTTAGTAAATTAAAGGCTCAAGTAGTCAGAAAAAGAGAGATACAGTAAAGAGAGATTCAAAGAGGAAGAAAACCTCTAAAGAGTTTACAATGTGTTAAAAATATATGCAGGCTAAAGGTTAAAGTCATTAAAAATAAAAAAGAAAGAAAGGGAGAAATAGGGTGTGGTGGTATACACCTTTAATCCCAATGCCTGGGAGGCAGAGGCATATTGACCTCTGTGACTTCAAGGGACAGAGGTATAGATTGACCTCTGTGACTTCAAGGTGTGGTTGTACACACCTTTGAGCCCAGTACTGGGGAGGCAGAGACAGAAGAATCTCTGTGAGTTCAAGGACAGCCTGGTCTACAGTGTTATTCCAGGACAAAGATATACAGAGAACCAGTCTCAAAAAGTTAAAAGTAAAATTAAAAGAAATAGAGGTTAAAATAAAGCCACATAAAGATGGAAAATACACAGAGACTCTTGATACTGTGTGTTATTATGCTGTCTTTAAATTGTTTGAATGCTGAGGAAGGAGCAACAGCTGCTAAAAGACTTTTGTTTATAAATGCTACTGAACTAACCCAAGATAGGCATTTTGAAAATACCTTGGCTTCAAAATTGAAGTCAAAAGGTATGCTACTTTGGAGAAGAGATTCTGCTTTTGTTTCCACAGAAAATGAGAGGCTCTGGATTTATTCAGAGCTAAGAAAAATCACCTTTGACCAAGGGAGGCCACCTGAAAAATCTCCGACAGGAATAGATGGCCCAGATGTCTGAGTTCTTCATCCAGAACAGGTTCAAGACTGCTGCCTGAGATGATCAAGACGCACAGGATACTCCAGTCAGGACTTGATTATAACTCTAAATTTTCTTTAGGTCCCCATAAGATCATCAGCGGCCCCAACCAGCAGGAAGTAGCCTGAAATACTACGCCCACATTCCCAACAAATGGAGT